TATTCTAAGGTTTTGCTCAATCAGACTTTGGACCACATACATGCCAGCAGACAAGAATTTACAAACAATAAACATGTTTAGCATCCTGAGCTGTACTTTTAAGTAGAATATTAAGAAATAGCTATGGTTTATATAATTAATAAGCATGTAATTAACAGTTAAGGTGGCTAACAGTAATTAGCACATAGCTTTTACTTATGTAATACTAATTTTCAAATACTGTTCACAACTCAAGGGTCAGGCCATTGTGGAAACTTTTGCCGAAGGCCTGGCTGGTACCAGTATCCATTACCATCTTTCTCTCCTGGAAACTAGACCGTCAGATCTTCTCGATTGTCTGATGATTTCATCATCAAGAACAAAGACAACTTTATACCCTGATACATCGTGCCACAGTGTAGACTTCTTTGTAAAATCTGTTAAATATAACTTTATATGGAAAAAATGCCCTTCAAAGGTAAAGACCTCAAAATTGACTTTTCTTGGATAAGCTGATATTTTATTAGAAAATACAACCCAGTTCAACCATATATTTTAAATTTGGGGACAGTTTCAAAAAGATTACTCAGTACCTATTTATGTGATGTACTCTTCTCATTATTAGCTAAATCCATCTTTAAAGCAACTTTCAATGACTGTAATATATACTCATTATGTACTATATAGTTTCCTATGAAAGTGGAATCATGGATTTTGAAAACAATCCAATTTACTTCATTTATGTATTTTGCTATGAGAGTCTGAAAGAAGATAATGACTATTATTCCTCAATTAAAATATTAATCACATTAATGTCATAAAATATTAATCACCATGGGTGTCCCAGTGATGAACTCGAACGTTGACTGGTCTCTTGAGGAAACTCGATGGCAAAGGGCTACTTCCTACATTTCTGATGTAAGGGCAAAATGTTAAAAGGTTAAGAACTATTTAGTGAACATTTTAGAAAGAAAGTCTTTCTGCCTTCATGGTTCCCCTTAGATCATCACAATCACCTCAGCTACCCGGACTTCATGAAGCACAGAGAAAATAATGCCAATTTCTTCTTTTGCCTTTTGAGTGTCAGGATGGCAGCTCCGGCATTCAAGTGTGCCAATGGGAATATTTAATTGCCAAAGGTCACCAAGTGCTGTGCTGCATGGTGCAAAAATGACCTAAAACATAAAAGCAACTCGGTGTCTTCTGGGAACTTGTTAGAAATGTAGATTCCTGGACCACCCCTCCCTGCTGCATCAGAAACTGTGGCGGTGGGCCCAAAAATCTGCGCTTTTTTTTTTTTTTTCCAGAACCAAGGCTTAAACTCAGGCCCTTGTGCTTGCTTATTTTACTGAGCCATCTCCCCAGCCCCTATCTGCACTTAACAGTCCCCTCCACTATCCTTGACTCAGGTTCAAGGTTGAGAAATGCAGCTCAAAGAAAAAATCCCCATGGCTCAGAATCCTGGGCCTCCAAAGATTCTGAAGCCACTTTTGTAGCTGATGTGGTTGATAATGGGAAATTACTCATGTCCTTTAGAAGAAACTCTTTTCTGCTCTAAGAGAAAAAAAGAAAAGAAAAAAGAATCCAAATAAGCAAGTAGGCATAGAGGCACATATCTGTCATTTGGTAATCTGGAGGCTGAGGCAGGAGAATCTTAAATTTGAGCCAGCCTGGGCAATTTAATGAGATCCTATTTCAGAATAAAAATAAATAAATAAATAAGAAAAAGACTAGAGGTGTAGTTAAGTATGGAGGCCCTGGGTTTAATCCTCAGTGCCAAATTGTAAAATAAAATAGGAAAACAAGTCTTAGAAAGCATGTGATTTAAACCTGTCAATTTGCAGAGGAAGAGGAGGAGGAGACAAAGTAGTAAAGGGTCATGCCCAAGGTCACACAAGCAGCGTGGTTCAGAGCCAGGACTACATTGCAGATCCCCTAAGAGTGAAGGTAGGGGTCAAAACAGTTGATTGATGAGCTCAGTGGAAAGTATTCAGAATCGTTACTGAACATCACATGAATAATGGAACTCTGCTGAATGACTGGATTTTTCTTTTCAGTTGAAATCCTGCACAGAACCTCAACATACAAAAGAGATGTAGGTGATATAAGCTTATTTTATACAAGGCTGTCTTTGAACTCAGTTTTAAAACATGCGGCTGATGAGATAGCTTAGCAGACTAATGCGCTTGCTTAGACAAGCTTAGGCAAACGCAGGTACTAAGATTTGATCCTTGGCTGCACATACCCTGGCATCCCCGCCTCCAGGGAGGACTGAGCCAGTCACAGAGTCTAGGCATAGTTGCATACACCTATAATCCCAGCACTAGGGAGGCTAAAAACAGGAGGATCACTATGAGTCCAAGCTTTGTAGTGACAAACCAAACCTATAACAACCAAATCTCTCTCTCTCTCTCTCTCTCTCTCTCTCTCTCTCTCTCTCTCTCTCTCTCTCTCTCTCTCTCTCTCTCTCTCTCCCTCTCTCTCCCTCTCTCCTCTCTCTCTCTCTCTCTCTCTCTCTATATATATATATATATATAGTGAGAACAGAGAACAATAAATCTATAAATCTATTTAACGATTATAAACTCTAAACTTGGAATTATAGATAGTAGTGAGTCTTATTAGTTATATTATGACTTAGGTTTAGTTATAAATGCTTTAAATTAATTCACAAATATTCACTGCTATTCTATAAATACTATTATTATCTCTACCTATAGTCATATATTGCTTAAGGATAGGCACATACTCTAGAAAATTTATTTGCTGATTTTGTTGTTGTCTGACCATCCTAGAGTGTACTTCCACAAGCCTAGCTGGTACGGCCTCCTATACACCTAAACGATGTGACTCTACACTAAACAAGACAACACGATAAACATGAATACACGATACTACTGCCAGCATAACATGGTAGGCTGCTTTACATTAAGACATAGCTATAGATCTACATCTATATCTATATCTATATATTGGAATGTAACTCTAAAATGACAGTAGGAAGTAGAGTGCAGTAAATGCACACAGCAATAACAGTCTTTTGTGCTTTCCAGTTTTACAGCTATTACACTGAGGTTTCTTTTCATCATATGCCTCAGTAGGTTCCATTGTTTCTTTCTCTATTTATTTATTTATTTATTTATTTATCTATTTTTGAGATAGGGTCTCACTATATAATTCAGGCTGTCCTTGAACTCACTATACAACCCAGACTGGCCTCAAACTTGCGGTGATTCCCCTGCCTCAGCTTTCTGAGTGCCCAGCTCTACTGTTTCTCATATCCAATGTCTTCCTCCTTTTGGGATCTGTACTCTTTTTCTTTTAGTAAATTTTTTTTTTTTATGCAAAGAGAGTATGGTCAACTGTTTGAATACCATTATACCCCCCAAAATCTTTATTTTGCTCTCATATATGACTGGTTATACAAGTCCAAATTTGAAATAATTTTCTCTAGAATTTTGAAGATATTATTCTAGCTTGCTTGCTTTCTTTCTTTCTTTCTTTCTTTCTTTCTTTCTTTCTTTCTTTTTTTTTTTTTTGGAACTGGGGATTGAACTCAGGCCCTTGCGCTTGCCAGACAAGCATTTACTCTACTGAGCTATCTCCCTGGCCTCTCTAGCATTATTTCTAACAACCATTTCATCCCCCCTTTTTATTCTTTGAATT